AGAAATAACTTTTTAACTCAAAGTGAAAGACATTTGCTAAAATGCAGTAATTGCAACATAGTAGAGTTAATGGCCGTCAATTTTTTAAAAGAGTCTGGTCTTTATCATGCCCCTGAGGGTCCTGTTTTAAAAGCAATGTTAAAAGTTCCTCTCTCTGAGAAAGTGACATTCTCCCACACTCCATCGAATAATTGAAACATTGTATTATATGACTACATAGCTGTGGATAAAACGTTTTATATATTTCGATGGGAATACCATCTAAACCTGGCGATTTTCCATTTGAAAAAGATTGAATGGCATTCAAAAGCTCAGCTGGTGTAATGGAGCCTTCACATAGTAATTGCCTCTTTTCGTCCAAACATGGTTTATAATTGTGTGGATAGAAACTATCATTCTGGTTGTTATTGGGCGAGTTGGCACCGTTATACATGCAAGAGTATAAATTAGCATAGAATTTTACTTCCTCCTTCAAGATATCACCAGGATTAGATAATATCGTGCCATCAGACAAAATCAATCGAGTTACATTTTTACGTGAATAATTCCTATGCACCAAATTTAAGAAGTATTTATTAGGGCTTTCACCTTTCAAAGACCAGCGAACTTTAGAAAGAATCATTGCACCAGCAGTTTTTTCAGAATACAGTAATTCAAGTTCCTCCCGTTTTGAAAAAAGTTGTTGTAAATTATAAGTGGATGGGCTATCAGTGGAATCAATCAAACATTGTAGCTTATTGATATCTATGAATAGCGAGTTTTCCTTTTCTTTATATTTTTTTTTCTTAATCGAACCAAACTTTTTACAATGACCCCTTAAAGCACACTTAGAGTCCCATACATAATGAGGATTTGCAGTTCCAATATTGTTATCGAAAAATAGATATTACATTATGCAGATCTTATTACTTTTACATTGTGCAGACCTTATTAGTTTTACACTTAAATGTGTTCATATTAGTTACCTTATAATTAGTTTTCTGCATTTCCATCAATATCTCAAGTTCAAGTAATTTTTAATTAATTTTTAATGTGTCTCCAATACTCTCAGCACACGGGAGTTCTTTCTAAGCTTTCTTTGATTTCGTACTAAAGAAACTAAAATATCTTTTGTAATTAAATCTAACAGCCAGTGGGAGCACATATGCTACAACCTCTGCTTACATTGGGCCATTCCAGTCTATATCTGCACCCCCCCTCCCTGTTGATGAGGTCGGATTTCCAGCACTGTATGATGGGGAAAATACCCCGGATTTCCAACTGTATATGGAGAAACAGAATCTGGAAATCCAGACGAGTATGGAAAAAAATATTCTGGAAATCCAGGCAGTTATGGCTACTAAATAAAATGTGGCCTAGCTTATCTCGCCCCATACCGGTTGATGAGGTTGGATTTCCAACACTCTATGACTAAAAAAAACTTGGAATTCTGACTGTATTGGGCCAGTATGAAATAGATAATGATGGTGGGACGAATGAGCTCATCAACACGGTGAATCAGGACTAGTTTGGATTTCCATTATCAAAGATATAAAATTTTGAACTTGGTAAA